AAAACAGTTTGGCAGTTTCCTAAAAGTTAAATATACACCGGCCTTATGACACAGCAATCCCAATCCCACACCATAGAGAAATGAAAACTTGTGTTTATAGAGCACTCTTTCCAATTTTTTTATGCTAGCTCAATTCATCATGACCAAAAAGTAGAATCAACACAAATGTCTTTCAACAGGTAAATGGATAAACTGCTTTACATGCATACAACAGAATACTACTCAGCAATAAAAAAATGAACTATTGAAACATTGATAACTTGAATGAATCTCAGAGGCAAGACAGTGAGTGAAATAAGCTAGCCTTAAAAAGTTACATTCTGTATGATTTTACTTATTTAACATTCTGGAAAAGGCAACTGTATAGCAACAGAGACACAAATTAGTGGTTGTCAGGGTGTGGAGGGATTGCTTCACAAGGACAACAGGAGGGAGTACTGGTGGTCATAGGACCATGGTGCATCCTGACTATGGTTATCATTACCCAAATGGATACCATCTTCAAAACTCAAAGAGCTCAAAATTTTTCTGTATGCTCATTTTATTTTTTATTATTTCTTAACATTTTTATCCTCACCTGAGGACACTTTTTTTTCATTGCTTTTAGAGAAAGAGGGAGAGGGAGAGACAGAGACAGATTGATGTGAAACAGAAACATCAATTGGTTACCTCCATATGCACTCCAACTAGGGATTGATCCCCCAACCTAGATATGTGCCCTGACCGAGAATCGAACCTGTGACCCTTTGGTTTGCAGGAGATGCTCTAACCAGTTGAGCCACACCAGCCAGGGCCTGTATACTCATTTAAAAAAAAATCTTAAAAGGCTAACATTCATGTAAAGAAGGGAAAATACAGACATATATGCTTATATACAAATGCCTCTTCTCTGTAAATACACAAAAGTGAGTCATAGTGGCTGCCATGGCAGGGGGAGGAAGAGGGCAACTGAGGCTCAGGGACTGGAAGAGCGATTTTCCTACAATAAGATAAATTTACTATTCAAAAACATTTTTAATTAAAAATAGAAACATGGGTGCATATGAATATATTGGAAATAAATATGCAAAAATTATAAGAGATATTTTGCTTATAAGTGGGATATAGAGTTTCCTTTGGGGAAGTTTTGAAGATGGATGGTGGTGGTGGTTGAACACCACTGTGAATGTGTTTAATAATACTGCACGGTATACTTAAAAGTGGCTAAAATGGTAAATTTTACATTATGCGTGTTCACCACAATAAAAAACAATCTAATCAGAATGTTAGCAAAAGATTTGAACAGACACTTCACCAAAGATGGATGGCAAGTAAGTAAATATCATTAACTATTATAGAAATGCAAGTTAAAGCCATGAGGAATACTGCTACACATTTATTAGAATGGCCAAAATTTAAAAATTAATATCAAGTGCTGGCAAGGATCCAGAGCAAGTGGATGTTTTATACATTGCTGGAGGTATTAAAAATACGGGGTCTGGCAGAAGTAATGCCTATTTGGCTGTGGTTGGTAGGGTAATAACATGGGTGTAATAATTTATAGTTTTAATTTGAACATTTCACCTAAAATGTCGTATGGTGTGCTTGAGTGTGATATTGTTATGTTACAGAGTTACATGCTAATGATTTTGTAATAAAAAAGGGGCATTATTTGTGCTGGTCCCTGTAGTATGGTCATTCTGTGAAAAACAGTCTAGCAATTTCTTAAAAGTTAAACATACACTTACTGTACAACTGTAGCTCTGGGTACTTACATGAAGAAATGAAAACTTATATTTCAAGCATAAACCTGTAAACCAATGTTCATAGCAGCTTTATTGGTAATAGCTAAAACTGGATACAACCCAAATATCCTTCAATGGATGACTAGATAAACTGATTGTAACTATCCTACAAAAATTCATCAATAAAAAGAAATGGCCCTGGCTGGCATAGCTCAGTGGACTGAGCGCAGGCTGCGAACCAAAGTGTCGCAGGTTCGATTCCCAGTCAGGGTACATGCTTGGGTTGCAGGCCATGACCCCCAGCAACTGCACATTGATGTTTCTCTCTCTCTCTCTCTCTCCCTCTCTCTCTCTCTCTCTCTCTCTCTCTCTCTCTCTCTCTCTCTCCCTCCCTTCCCTCTCTAAAAATAAATAAATAAATCTTTAAAAAAAAGAAATGAAATGTTGATACACATGGCTTGAATGGATCTCAAGGGCATTAGACTGACTGACACTAGGCAATGTCAAAGAGTTACATATGATGTGAACCCATGTATAAAACATTCTTGAAATAACAAATATCCTGCTTGAGAAGAGATCAGTGGTTGCCAGGAGTTAGGGGAAGGGGTGGGGTGTGATTATGAGGTAATGCGACAGAGCTTCTTTGTGGTGATGGAACACTGCTGTATTCTGACTGTGGTGGTGGTGATGTGAATCTGTACATGTGATAAAATTCTATAGTACTATATACACACAAAAGAATGAGTATAAAATTGGTGAAAGCTGAATAAAGTCTATCTCTACTTCAGTTAATATTGTACAAAATTTGGGAGTTTTGATAATGTGCTATGATTATATACTATCACTGGGCAAAGCTGGGTGAACTCTGTACTATTTTTGTGACTTTTTGTGAGTCTTACATTTTTTCAAAAGAATCATAAGACAAAAAAAGAGTAAACCACTTCACAATTAAAAACACAACGAATCTCAAAAACATTTCCTGAGCTAAAGAAGACAAAAACATAAGATACATCTCATAGTTCCCTTTAAGTTCTAAAACAGGCAAACTAAAATATGATAAGGGAAATCAGATCTGTGGTTGCTTGTGTGGCAATATGTGGGAAATGACTGGAAGGAAACATGAGGGAACTTTCTGGGGTGGTAGAAATGTGCATTTTACTGAGGTTAAGTTACATCTAAAAAGTTGGGGGGTGGGAGACAAAAGCCCTCATTAATAAATCTTGCTTGCAATGCATATACACACAAAGTTGGTCAAGCCCATAGAGACTGAAAACTTCGGGTAAAGGACTTTGACTATCTAAAGTGACTAGAGGACAAATGTTCCTATGACTTTGGAAAGATTTAATTCCGAGAGACAAATGGCCTAGTTGGCCAATTAACACTTTCCAAACCCTTTTTGTAAAATTTACAGCATATGAATGTAGACTGGCTTGGTAAAGACTATGGATTTAAAATTCAGCACTTTTTATCTTTTGTGCCTTTTAAGCAGAAAATTGTGCCTAGCATTTCCAAACTGGCCATTTATAGAGTGTGAAAGGAAAGCACATGTACTGACGAATATCCCTAGTGTCTAAAATGTCCACAGTCATTATCTCAAAGGGAAATTCTCAGCTGAGGTCAACTGAGTCCTGAGGAGTTGCACTGCTTTCCTGACTCAGCTGGCCAGACTAGCTGGAGACTCAGTGTTCCTTGCTTTTCGGATCTCTACATAAATATGGCTCAAGATTACAGTCATTTGTCTAGACCAGAGTCCAGATTCTGGCTTCTCTTTGTGTCATTCTTCCTTCATCTGAAATCTCCTTTTGCTTTGTAATTCTAGTTCTGAAATCTTTCAGTGCTGATGATGTGAGAGCTGACCCATTTTCATTGTAAGCAGAACCCAGGAATCCCCGAGGGCTAACATCTCAAATTCAGGGATTTCTCAGGGATGCTGTGGCTGTCTGTGAAGTGCTGGGGCTTCCTGCCAAGAACTGGAAGAGTCTTGGAAGGTCTTGACTCCATACCTTAGAGAACATCTCTCCATTTTACAGATGATGAAGCAGAGAGCCCCAAAGATTAAAGGCCATCTCTATGCGGCTGTCCCCAAATTTGTATCTCTAGCCCTGCCTAGCCTCTAGTTCTAGGCTCCTATATCCAACTAGGGTATGACCCAGTCATCTAAATTTAGCTGGTTCAAAATGGACTCTTTCTACCTGCTTCCAGGCTCCCCAACACACCATCTATCCAAACACACACACCCAAATCTTCAACTCTTCCCCTTTCCTCACGGCAATCCTATTTCCCTCTGTTGCAAATAGATCTCAAATCTGTCCCCCTGTAGTTATCCTCAAACTGCCCCTAGTCCAGCTCTCTCTGCTGCTTCTGCCCTCTGACACCCCATTCTTACTCAGCAACCAGACACTCCTGTGATCTAGTCAGTCCCTGCTGCACGGGTTTCCCACAGCCCTTGATTAAACCCAGACTCGGAGGATGCACCGCCAGACTGCAGCCCACAGAAGAGTTTCCTTTGGGATATCTAGGGGAGGACTGGGGACTAATGGTGTCCCCTATGGTCCCACCTACCACTTGACTCCCAAGCGTCAAAGTGAGAAATGAGAGGAAGCTTCCAGAGGCTGCCCTAGTCAGATGTTTGGCCCTAAAGGAAAGGCCCTCTCTAAAGGCAGGTTGTTGTAAATCTCCTTATGGGCAGGACCCAGACTTCTGCTTTAGAAAGCAGTGAAAAAAGCCAGTCCTGGCTCATTTAAACCATCTCTGCTTCAGTCTACCTATCAGTGAAAAGGAGATAACACTAATTACCTGAGAAGTTCCTGGGAGAATGAAATGAGCTCTAAAGCACTTACCACAGCACACAGTAGGCGCTTAATGCGTCAGTGAAAGCCCTTGCATTCTAAGGAACCAACAGACAGAGCTATCCAAAACTGGACTCACTCATAAGATGCTGAATTCTCTGTCACTAGAGCGTGTACACATTTCCTGAGCTAAAGCGCTACGTGGTGGCCAAAGGATTTTTGTGACCGCAGAAATCTCGCTTAGGTCTTAAGTCCCTCCAGCTTCGAGTTTTGCCCTTAGAGCCTGACTTCTGGTCCCCGCGCTTCAAGCACCACCACCCAAGAATGTGTCCTCGGCCAGCACCACGGGGACGAGAATCCTCCGAACAACAGAAAAGTTCACGGGAGTCCACCCTAGATAGAGTGACAAGCCATCTCAGCGAGAGGGAAGGGACGCGGCACGCAGGCGCCGCGCTCTGCCATTGGTCAGCGCCAGCAGAGAGGCGGGACCCTTGACGTCGCAGCACGGCTGTGCTGTCATTCGGCGGCGGCTAGAGGACACGGTTAAGATGGCGGGGGTGTCTGGGCTAGTACGGAGACCCCTTCAGCAGGTAGGCAGCGGTCCGCGGACCCTATGACCCTGCGCGATTCCTGCCCACCCCGCATGCCCTCTAAGCGTCCTTTTTCTCTCTCCGCCAGGTTTCCGGGCTGCTTAGGAGGCGCTTTCACCGGACGGCGCCGGCGGCGCTGCAGGTAATTGGTCCGGACGCTGGCCGTGGCAGGGAGGGGGTCCCCTCCTCTGTGGGTAGAGGCTGGGGTCGCGCCTGCGCAGTGGTGGGTGGGCACTGTGGGGAGAGGCTGCACTGGCCTTGGAGTCCATGGACCCCCGCATCCTGCCTGGGACTCCTCCTGCCTTTTCTGCGGCCCAGCAACAAACACCAGCATGTTATCCCCTGGATCCTCATTAGAATCCGTTGTGCGACATGGGGAAACTAGACTTGACTTTTCCCCCAGATCACCCCCGTTTTCATTTTTATTGTGGTAGAATATACATAACGAAATTAACCATTTTCAAGTGACTGTTAAGCGGCACTAAGTCTATTCACTATGTTGTGTAGCCATCACCACCAGCCATCGCCAGAACTTCATCTCTAACAGAAACTGTGTAGTACCAACTAAACACAAACTCAGTGTTTCCCCTTAGCAACTACTCTATTGCACTTTCTGTACCTGTTTTAGGTATACCCTGTGGGTGGAATCATGCAATATTTGTTCTTTTATATCTGGCTTATTTTTCACTTAGCATAACGTTTTCAAGGTTCATTCGTGTTGTAGCATGTTTCCGAATTTCATTGTTTTTAATGGCTGAATAATATTCCATTGCATGTATATATCACATTTTGTTTATATGTTCATCAGTTGATGGACATTTGGATAGTTTCCACCTTTTAGATTTGTAAGTAATGCTGCAATGAACATGGGTGTGCAAGAATCTGAGCCTCTGCTTTCAGTTCTTTTGTACATATATTAAGGGGAATAGTTGGATTATATGCTAATTCTATGTTGAACCTTTTGAAGACACCCCCTTTTTTTACTAGAACATTCTACCAACCTATATGGTAAAATAACTCCTAGATCCTGAAGGCAAAGTATTTGGTAGTGCCTGGCACCTAGTGAGTGCTTAATATGTAAAATTATTTAGGCTTCCTGAACAGTTCTTTAAGTATGGAAGTAAAACAACCCAGCATACTTTCTGCATATGAAGTTTCACCTATAAACTGGTCTGGCCAACAAACAGATCCCTTAAGCCTAGGTATGTATCAAGCAAAGTGTTAAGTAAGCTTCTTATTAACATGTCCAATAAAGATTAGCTATGTGTGATAGAAGTGTTACTTTTAGAATTCTTTGACCTTTTAAAGAGAAGCCTGTTCCAGAGATAGTTTTCATATTATATGCTGTGGGCTTCCTAGATAATTATATAGGGGGAGAATCTCAATCATTACCTAAATAATCCTGTAGCTTACTGAATGTTTCCCTATACCTGTGACAGGTGACAGTTCGTGAGGCTATAAATCAAGGCATGGATGAAGAGCTGGAAAGAGATGAGAAGGTATTTCTGCTTGGGGAAGAAGTTGCCCAGTATGATGGGGCATACAAGGTAACCAAGATAATATGAAAACTCTACAAAATTGAGTTGACTATCTGCTCCCATACATACTTAAAAGTAAGGGGGCCAATGCTTAATTTTAGGTTAGTCGAGGCCTATGGAAGAAATATGGAGATAAGAGAATCATAGACACACCCATATCTGAGGTAAGCCTTCCACCAGAAAGCAGACCTTTGAGGGGCACATCTGTTAAAATGTACACAGTTCTAATTTTTATGGGTTTTCATGTTTGTATTTTATTTTATAGATGGGCTTTGCTGGAATTGCAGTAGGTGCAGCTATGGTATGAATCTTTATGAATCTCTCCAAAGAGATTTTTAACATGACCTTTGAAAACATTATTTGAATGTCATAAGTGGTTGCCCCTCTTCATTGTTGTTTTAAGTCTTTTTAACATCTGTGTTTTTGATTTGACAGGCTGGGTTGCGGCCCATTTGTGAATTTATGACCTTCAATTTCTCTATGCAAGCTATCGACCAGGTTATAAACTCAGCTGCCAAGACCTACTACATGTCAGCAGGCCTTCAGCCTGTGCCCATAGTCTTCAGGGGGCCCAATGGTGCCTCAGCAGGTGTAGCTGCCCAGCACTCACAGTGCTTTGCTGCCTGGTATGGGCACTGCCCAGGCTTAAAGGTAGTCAGCCCCTGGAATTCAGAGGATGCAAAAGGACTTATTAAATCAGCCATTCGGGATAACAATCCAGGTCAGCAGATTAACACTTGGGTCTCTTGTGAACATTGAAAAACTAAAGTGAAACTTGAATGGAAGGCACCAATAAAGGCTTCCCGTTATGCTTAGATGTATCCTATAAAATGCTAATAATTTACAGATACAGTAAAGATAGGAAAAGATGTTGTTTTTCTTATTTCTGACTATATGGGGGCCAGTTAGGTAAAGGAGACTTTACTGCATACCTAGAACTGATTTAACCTCCATAGATAAAATTAGGATTTGACCAGACTACAAATGTCAGTACCTAAACCATCCTCAAGGGTACTAGACACAATAGACAAAGGGCTTCCTGATCAGCACAGTGAAACTTTTCACAAAATAAATGACAGTAATGCTCTCCTTCCTGGGAGCATGCCCACACCTTTTTTCCAAGGCATGCATCTGCTAAAGGTCCGTCCTCACAAGACTTGCAACTAGGGGAGCAATGGGCAGTGACAGGGGATCAACCAGGGCTAACCCCCTGACCCTGTCTCCAAAGCCCCTTTTCTCTGATTTACCATTGAGCCAAAACAGCCCCGCCTAAGTTCATTTCTTTCCTATATAACATTTCTGGAGAGCCAGAGCAGCCCAGCCTAGGCTCTCCTGTTGCTTCTTCTATTCTAAGCCCTTCCTTGTTTCACTGTCCCTAGCTTTAATAAATGTGCTATCAAAAAAAGAAGGAACAATAGTGTTCTGTGTACATTTTTAGTCATGTGTGACTTGCATTTAAATATTTGTATTTTGCAGTGGTGATGCTAGAAAATGAATTGATGTATGGAGTTCCTTTTGAACTTCCTCCAGAAGCTCAGTCAAAAGACTTTCTGATTCCTATTGGAAAAGCCAAAATAGAAAGGCCAGGTGAGAGAACTTAGTATACATTTAAACATTATTTGTAATCCAGCTCCTCTATTTGTGTTATTATTCATATTCATCCTAAACTGTATTTCCCTTTACTTTGAGAAGGGAATTATAGAATGAGTTCAAGTTAAGAATGTGTCATGCCTTAATGGTTCATACAGTGCTCATACACTTGTACTTTTCTAAATCCTAATCCAGTAGATTTGTATTTCTTTTTTTAATTGTATATTTATTTTTACATGTTTAAACTTCATTCGCCTTCAAAGTACTCTCCATTTGATGCAATACACCTATTGAGATGTTTTTCCACTGCTCAAAACAGTTCTTGAACTTGTCGATTTTGATGCCTTTTAGGGCTTCTGCCATTTTTTTAAATTTTCATAAGAGAAAATTTATTAAAGAATTGCCTTTTATTCTGTGACTTGTTTGCCCCTTTTCTGGATTAAAATTCTAGGTTTTTAAAAATATACTTTATTGATTATGCTATTACAGTTGTCCCATTCTTTTCTCCCTTTTATTCCCCTCCACCCTGTATCCCTCTTCCCACCATCATTCCCCCACCTTAGTTCATGTCCATGGGTTGTACATATACGTTCTTTGGCTTCTCTTTTTTTTTTTTTTTTTAATTTTATTTATTGACTTGAGAGACAGACAGATAGACATTGATTTGTTGTTCCACTTATTGATGGATTCATTGGTTGATTCTTGTATGTGCCCCGACCAGGGAGCAAACCTTCAACCTTGGCATACTGGGGCAATGCTCCAGCCAAGTGAGCTATGCAGCCAGGGCCTGGCTTCTCCATTTCCCATACTATTCTTAACCTCCCCCTGTCTATTTTGTTCCTCCCATTTATGCTTATTCTCTGTACCTTTTCCCCCATCCTCCTCCCACCTGCTCCCCACTGATGACCCTCCATGTAGTCTCTATTTCTGTGATTCTGTTCCTATTCAAGTTGTTTGCTTAGCTTGTTTTTTTGTTTGTTTTATTTTAGGTTCAGTTGTTGTTGATAGCTGTGAGTTTGTTGTCATTTTACTATTCATAGTTTTGATCTTTCTCTTAGATAAGTCCTTTTAACATTTCATATAAGGCCTTGATGATGATAAATTCCTTTAACTTGAACTTGTCTGGGAAGCACTTTATTTGCTCTTCCATTCTAAATGATAACTTCATGGTGAATAGAATAATCTTGGATGTAGGTCCTTGCCTTTCATGAATTCAAATATTTCTTTGCAACCCTTTCCTGCCTACAAGGTTTCTTTTTAGAAAGCACCTGATAGCCTTATGGGAACTTCTTTGTAGATAACTCTCTTCTTTTCTCTTGCTGCTTTTAAGATTCTCTCCTTCTCCTTAATCTTGGGTAACTTAATGATGATGTGCCTTGGTGTCACGTCCTTAGGTCCAACTTCCTTAGGACTCTCTGAGCTTCATGGACTTCCTTCCTTGAAGTCTATTTCCTTTGCCAGATTGGGGAAGTTCTCCTTCATTATTTTTTCAAATAAGTTTTCCATTTTTTCCTCTCCCTCTTCTCCTCCTGGTACCCTATGATTCAGATGTTGGAATGTTTAAAATTGTCCCGGAAGTTCCTAAGCCTCTCCTCATTTTTTTGAATTCTTGTTTCTTCATTCTTTTCTGGTTGAATGTTTATTTCTTCCTTCTGGTCCAAATTGTTGATTTGAATCCCAGTTTCCTTCCCTTCACTGTTTGTTCCCTATACATTTTTCTTTATTTCACTTTCATAGCCTTCACTTTTTCCTCTATTTTGCAACCATTCACAACCATTTATGTGAGCATCCTGATTACCAGTGTTTTGAACTCTGCATCTGATAGGTTGACTATCTCTATTTTTTGGTTTTGGCATGCCTATTAAATAGTGAGGGGCGGAGCCTTAGGTGTTCACCAGAGCAGGGCAACCCACATCCCTGTGTTGTGGTGCTATATGTGAGGGAGGGGTCATAGAGAGAACAGTGCTGCTTGCTCAGCTCTCTGCTGGCTTTCAGCCACTTCCTCCACTAGCCACAAGCAAATTGGGCCCTTCTGGTGCTGCTTCCCAGGTGGGTGGTTTTCGTTCTAGGACCCTGTGGGTCTCTCCAACAAACTCTCCTGTGAGGCTGGGAGTTTCTCCCACTGCTGCAACCCCCACGGATTTTTTCAGTCAGAGGTTTTGAGGCTTTATTTCCCCGCACTGGAACCGTGAGTTGCGTGGTCTGTATCGCTCCCCAGTTCTTCCTCCTGGTTTATCCGAACGCAAATGTGGGACTGCCCATCTACCAGCTGCTGCCTCAGTTTGAGTCCTCTCTGCCCTGGCTGCCTGTCTCTACCCCTCGTAGTGGTCTGGATGAATGCTCTTCTTTAATTCTTTGGTTGTGAGACTTTGATACAGATTAATTTTCTGGCAGTTCTGGTTATTTTTTAATTTGTTGTCCTTTTGGTTTTGTGAGGAGACAAAGTATATCTGCCTATGCCTCCATCTTAGCCGGAAGTCTGTATTTCATTTCTAAGAAGGTCGCCACATTCTTCATATCACTGCAGTGAAGCCGAGTTGAAGATTGTACAAATGAACTTAGTTTCAATCTGACCTCTGATCTGTGACCACTTTGTTTTAGGGACACATATAACTGTAGTTGCCCATTCGAGACCTGTGGGTCACTGCTTAGAAGCTGCAACAGTGCTGTCTAAAGAGGGAATTGAATGTGAGGTGAGTAGACATTCTGTTCTAAAAAAAATCAGAAAGGTTTCTTTTAAATTTAAGACCCAGATGTAGTTTGAGTTCTATAACAAGATGTAAATCTTGCTTTGTCACTCAGTTCTGCCCCTGCTTAATGCTGGGAATCTGCTTGTTTTCTCAATACATAGTTTTTTACCACCTACGTTTTAGATCTTTTAAAATAATACCCCTTTCTCAAGTTAAAAATCGGAGCTGGAGGTTGGGGAAGGGGAAACTTAGAAGTCAATGAACCTAGCCCTTTCTTATCTGGGACCTGCCACTTGTTAGTTACACTTGGGCAAGTTATGTACAGTAAGTCTCAAAAGACGTGGAGTGACAGAGGAGTTTTTACAGAGCAGCAGAGGGACAGCTGGCTGCAGAGAGGTAGGGACAGTATGTTTTCTGTCTCATCAGGGTGGTTGTGAGAAATTACACTTAATGTAGTGCCTGGTACACAGTAAACAGTCAAATGTGGGTTGTTATTTTGATGAGAAGGAAGTTAAAGCCAAGGGAGGTAAGTGAATTCCGTAATTTAACAAGAGCTACTTATAGTAGAGATAAGTAAGATACAGTAGAGATAAGTAAGATATAGTAGAGATAAGATGTTTGTTTTAATTAAATTTCTCTCTTATATCTTGTGTGTAAATTGGCATATTAGATTTTCCTAGACACAAAGACTGATAGGAAACCAAAAAAAAGTGGTGTTATGGGAATAAGACTATATTTATGATGCAGTGGCTCTGTAAAGCTTGTCGACTACATCATCTGTTCAGGTAATAAATATGCGGACCATCAGACCAATGGATATTGAAACAATAGAAGCCAGTGTCATGAAGACCAATCATCTCGTAACTGTGGAAGGGGGCTGGCCACAGTTTGGAGTAGGAGCTGAAATTTGTGCCAGGATCATGGAAGGTATTTCTGAGAAACTGGTTTTGGAATAGTCAAGCTGTATTAAACACTACCTGGATACCAGATAAAGAGATTAAAAGTTGGGAGAGGCCAAATGGCTTGAACTTTAAATTTGTCGGCTTGGCATGGTGGGGGGGGTGGGGGAGGTGTGCATAAATTTTTAAAAAGCAAAACCAAAAATAGTAAAAAAATAAATATAAAATAAATAAAAAGCAAAACCAGAAACAATCCCCAGTAATTAGTATTCCTTTAGATTCTTGTATTTGGACAGCTACACCATTTGTGTCAAGGTGTTGGTGTGCGGCTAGCTTTTCTGGCCTCTCTCTCAGTTAAGCTTCCTTCCCTCCTAGGCCCTGCATTCAACTTCCTGGATGCTCCTGCAGTTCGTGTCACCGGTGCTGACGTCCCGATGCCTTATGCAAAGATTCTAGAAGACAACTCTGTACCTCAGGTTAAAGACATCATATTCGCAATAAAGAAAACATTGAATGTCTAGTTTTGACTTGAATATCAAATCATTGGGATTTATTTAAAGTACTTGCTGACACTACCTGGATTGACTTTATGATTCATAAATGTTTTTGTACTGGGAAAAAGTTTAAATGTGCTTGTATCTGGAAAAACTCCATCCTTACTGCCTGCAATTCCATGCCTGTTTTTTTTGTCTGTTACAATTGCCGTTTCTTTGAGTAAGACCAATGTAAAATTGTACCCTCTCACTGGAAGGACAAGGTGTGAAAGTGGCAGAGTCCTAATGAAAGATTTATCCAAAAACAGGCAACTTGTATGTAAAAATAAAAGCATATGATCTACATTTCCTGTTAGATTGTTTTGATAAGGAATAAAGGGATCCCTAACTATGATTGATTATATTTTTATGTTCTTGAAAATAACTGTGGGGTGGAAGTCTTAAAATTGTATGAAGAAATTTGTGTCATCAGGAACTGATTGTTAATGATTCTAGACTACATCACACTGACAACAGGAACTTGTCCACAGGGTTTCCTTCAAAATCAAAGCAAAATTCATGTCAGGTGTTTTCCCATTGCCAAAAAACACACCTCCTGTCATACATCGCCCTCTGCAGAAGCTGAAATGGAAAAGACAGGTTTAAATTGGTTACGGAAGCATACAAGTGGTGCGAGGCAGGAATGTCAGCTTATCAAGAGGGAAAATATGACACGTAAGAAAGATCAGATAGATGGGGAAAAAACTGTAGAAATACTGTGTGGATCTGGTCTTTGTTTACAAATGTTACTACAAAAAAATTCCCATTTGAAATCACAGCCAAGCTACAGACAACCTATTTTCTTGACATGGTTTATTTTAATAAAAAATACAGGTGAACATATTTATCACAGATTACATGAAACTAGAGACAATGACATTTTCTCTGCATAGTAACCAACACTGATGTGTGTATTTGAACTTTTAAATGGATTACTTGTAATCCTTTAAAGTGCAATTTATTTAAGGATTTAAGCAAGTCATAGGATAAAGGATCTTTCTAATAAATGAGTAACATTTAAAGATGATGTATTTGAATAAATCTTTCAAAAATCGTAATTCTATAAATGCCAAACTTGTTTGTGTTGTAACAGTAATTCCCCACAAACCACAAACTTAATTGCTGAGGAGTAATAAGATCTTGTAATTAGCAAGAGCATTTTCTGATGTTACCATTTTTTTGTTCGATACATTCTAACTGTAAGGAGCTATATGAGTTCATTGTAGTTGCTTTAGCAGCCCTGAGTTCTATAACCACAACAATATTCTGTTTGAGAGGAAAATGAAGAACTGGGTTGCTTCTCTGACTCAGTGATACAACTATGCTTTGGGCTACAGTGTTAATGTCTAAGTGAAATTAAGGTAGCAATTAAGGAAGTTAGAATCTAAGAGACAACCAGAAAATGCTTTGGAGAAATAAACTATGAGAGGAATGTTTCTAGAAGCTTGACTGATGGGATAGGAAGGATTACAACACAGGCCATCTGCTGCTGTGACTATGTTGTCATTGTTTTTGTCCATTTCTTTCAATTGGTAGCAATATTGATTCTGATATGCTGCTTCCCCCAAAAGATGCCCATTAGAAGATGAACAACTCCTTTAAAATAGTAATAAAGGAGCAAACTATTCCTTTGCTCCTGATTTTAATCTACTCGAAGAATATTTCCCTCTTCAAAAGCTCCGTACATGAGCATCTGTAAAATAGTGTGTTATCTCTATTGGCTCAGCAATTAACTCATCCAGGAGAGTCCTTCAGTGGTTGGAGGTGGGCAGGGAAAAAACAAAAACCAAAAAACTTCCCTCCAAGTGTAAACATGAAGCTTTAGCCAATCTTAGGAGCACTGTGATCACAGGTTTCAGCTTTCCTCAAAGTTCCTTTTTGGAAATTCTGGATGGAGCTGAGTAAGGCCCCTCGGCTCACGCCATTCACAGCCTGTGGCTGGAGCTGTGTGGGCACCTCTGTGCTCAAAGGAGGCAAGGGAGCTGCTGGTGGCGGAGGTGGAGGAGGTGGAGGTAATGTGGAAATCCCTGTAGAGGAGAAAGTGGACAGTCAGCATCACCTCCCAACATCCGGTATGCATGCTACCACTCAGTCCTGGGCAGGACAGACTGGGGAGGCTGCAAGTGGGTTTCCCTCAGAACAAACAAGATGTTCAGTACTGTATGCTTTTTAAAATACTGAACAAGAAAGCTAGAAGCATCAAAGGGGAATTTCAAGTTTGCCATTTCTCCCAAAAAACAGTCATGTGAGGAAAGACTTAACAAATATCACAGATTACATGAAACTATACATATACATTCTCTCAACATAATTGAATGAGGCTTTAAGACCATTTCCAAATTTTAGTAATGGTACCCAAAGGAAAGTTCCATCAGCTACTTCAGCCAGGTCCCGGATAGCTCCACCTATTCCTGAGCTAGCAATTAAAGATAGACATCTGGATGCAGAGTTGGGCTACCCGAATATCAATTAATAATAAAGGATGAACAGTTCTTAGCTGCTGCAACACACACACACACACACACACACACAAATTTGGAGGATGTGATTTAATATAAAATGAGAAATCGGTATTCTTGGCAAGGAACCTAGGCCTGCCAGGTTATGAGTTCGCCAGGGGCACCTGTCTCAAAAAAGCATCTTCTATTAGGATACATTAAAGAAATATAAAAAGCTAATAACTCTTCCATTGTAAAGTAGGGGGCAAAGGGCTTTCTCTCCCCAGCAATAGTATTCTCATGGAGGAGTTTTCCTCAAGCACCCTTCTTTCCACCATGGCCCAATCCAGGAACAGAATGTAATTGCAGTAACCCTACATCTTTGCTGAAGCATCAGGAAAGACTGCAATTCTGAGCTCTACCTTAGTGGGCAAGGAGAAGGGAACTGGACAGGTGCCTATAGCTTCCCTTAGCTTCCAGGCACACAAACATTTGGCCCTTGAACTTTATAGTTCTGAATGAATGAATGAAAACAAACACTGAGTACAGAAAAAGCCCTACCTTAAGGAACCTGACTGTGTCAGAGTTAGTTGCCCCATTTCTCAGGAACCTTGCAGCTCTCGGTGACTCCCCCGACCTGTGTCTAGCCTTACCCTCTACCCCTTCCTAGGGCTACACAATGGAGATACTCTGCTAGACAAACTGCTACTAGGCTGTGGTGTTAACAAGTAAACATGTCAATTGCCCTTGTGTTTATTTGGATGAGTAATTCAGGATCTTCAATCAAATACTTAGTTAAGTGCATAACAGGCAATTGTTAAAATCACGTGTTTCACAGAAAACCACTTACCTTTCTTTATATCTTTACCCAAACCTAAGGCAGCTGAAATTAAAGAATGACAGATACACATGCTCATGCTCTACAATCTTGGAATTCTCAAATGATGATATATCAATACAAACAAACATGAAAGACACAAATGAACAAAATGCAATTTATATTGGTTCTATACAACAACAGCTAATGAATGAAGTTCGATTATGTTCTATGCCGAGGTGGAGGGTGGAAAAATGTCCCTGGCTTTATGGCACAGGGTTACAAAGATAAAAGGACTTTAAACCCGAATGAGTGTTGAAGTAAGAAGAGCAGGGTGTGTGATACAGCATTCCTCTGAAGAGGGTTTTCAGAGTGACCAGTGAAATACCAGGGGAGGGAGGCTGCCTCTGAAGGCTCTTGAAGCTCAACTGCAGCACAGAGAGCCTGAAGGAGTGAGCAGGCACCAATGTCCCCCCACCCCCCATCCAATGACCAAAAAAGGGCAGCAGAATCTGGACTTGACATTCAGGGCCCCACATGTACAGAGGAGCATCAGCGTTTCTGCCTTCCATCTTTGTGCTTTGAGCCAGGCAGAAGAGTCCCTGTGAGTCGCAGATGAGAAGACAGGCTCTGGGCTGCAACAGCACTTGTGTCCTCAAGACAAGGAGCTGGACATCCAGAGACAGGCACCCCTCTGGCCCAGGATTCTGGGAGGCTAGAAATGAGCCCCGGGGGCTGGATTTGAGTACAGGCTGCCATCTGGAACAAAACTGCTTGGCCTTCACAAGGAATCAAGCCTTGACTTTGGCCTCATTACCAGGAACTCAAAATTAGAATTGCAAATTTACTATCACAGCATTTGGGAATTGGGAGTGGTGTTCAGTAAATGGATCTTCATTTTCCAAGTAAACGCTAGATTGTTACCACTTTCAATGAAACTCTTTGAATACACTGGTAGTATAAATAAATGGACTGTCCCAAGTGCCACAGGGTAACCTGTGTCTGTAAAGCACATAGGATGCTGAGGGCTGTGAGAAAGGAGAGGCTATCATCCAGGGGTATACAGCAAGGTCACAAGGTCACCCTGATGTCCATTCATAGAGGGCCAGACCAATCCCAAAGGACCTGATGTCCCATGATGTCCACTTTCCTCACTGGGCCTGAGATAACAAGGGCAGATCTTGTTGCATATGCTTAGGACATCAGAACTCAGCTCGCTGGCTCAGAGAACTTGGGCGGGGTGCGGAGTGCAGCGGGGAGGCGGGGGAGGACCAGGAGCCAGAAGGTCAGCAGTGGAGGAGGCAAGAGCACAGACTCCAAGACTCACAGTCTCTGGTGACAGGTCCATCCAATTTTGTTCTGCCTTTTTGTTTTGTTTTGTTTTGTTTTGTCTTTTCTATGGTCCACACGCTTTCCTTAAAGGTTCACTGGGGCTTCAGCTACAACAGATTGGTAACATGTGGGAAGGGGAGGAATGGTAACAAGGGCCAAACTTAGAGTTGGCCCCTTGGCCCGGGACAAACCTGAGAACAAACACTGGATGTTCAAATTCCCCAGTTCCTCACATGTGAATCTGTTCCTCCCCAACAAGAGGCTTCTGCATGCCATTATCCCCAGGCTACAGACAAAACTGGTCAGCTTCCATGTCAGAGTGATTACTACCCAGATTCACACAGCTTTGAAAAATAGTGTTTTGCAACAATTCAGGATGAGAGATGCTCCAAAACACTTTGTCTGCAATTATAACCTGGTCAGTCCTAATGTCTCTAACCTCCTTTTCTCTTCAACAAAACCCCCAAGAGCCAACTATTTTTTTACCCTTCCCAAAATCCCATCCACCAAACCAAATGGAAACCTGTGGTCCAGCTGGGGCCCTGGAACAGGCCACCAACTGCTGCACCAAGCACACAGGTTAGATCCAGGGAGGAACACCTTGCCAGAAACATCCTCACCAGCTTTGTGGAAAGGACGTCTCAGGGTCCCCTCTCCTGGGCCAACTTGGCAATCTGCAGGAGTGTAGATCTGAGTTCCCTTGTGGTCCACACAGAGAACTGGGGAGGCCACAGGGCCACCAGACCAACAGCAGGCACTGCCTTCATC